AGGGTTTCTCTCTGTTCGACACAAAGCGTTTTCTCGATTTCTTTAGCGATCTCTGAATTCTTTTGTCTAATTTTTTTTTTTATTTGTTATCTTGGGTTACCCTCTTGTAGTATTTATAAGAAAAGGAACTTTCTTTGTGAAGAATTGCGTAAAACCCCAATACTTTAGCTTAATTGTCTCTATTGTAATTACTAATTAGAATCGTTAAGTTTTGGTCCACTTAAGAGGTCGTGGTTCAAATTCCACTTTTGACAACAATAAAGAATTGGTTTTATAGTTATCCCGGAATTTAAAAAAAAAAAAAAAATATTATGTTTACGTATGTATGGATTTAAAAGATACTGTATATATTTATATATGGATTTCAGAGGATTGATTTTTTTTTTAGTCTCGAGATTTAGAGGATTTATAGATGGATTTAAAAGCTTTACAAATATAGAAACGTTTTAAATTTGTTATGAGATTTTTTATTCTCTTTGTCATGAAGTCTACCATTGACTACGAAACAAAAAGAATAAATTGATATTGTATTCCAAGTATAAATTGATTGATTTCTATATCAACAAAGAAGAAAAAAACAGAATGATCAAGGTAAGGTAAGAAGAATAAACAACTAATTTGATTCACTAAATTAGTTTAAACTTTCCAGATTTGTTATGAGATATTTTATTCTTAATTCCATTGATTACACGAATAAAATTTACTATAATAAAAAAACAACTAATTTTGTTGAAAACCATTATAAATAGGGGATTATCTCTTCATTATTTCTTAAATACAAATAAGTTTCTTCTTCTTTCTTTTGTTTTTGAAATTATGGGAGCAAAATGGAATTCAATAATCGTGCTAGTGTTTGTGGTGGCAATGGTAATGGCTTTGGAAAAAGTCAACGGAAATAGGTTGAGACAATGCAGTGAAGATTGCATTCAAAGTTGTTTCATGGCCGACAGATTTGCAGCCCAGTGCTATCGGAATTGTTACCGTCAATGCCATCGCTTACCCAAACCAAAAAAAGCTAATAGGTAACAATTTAGGAAGTATATAAGAAAAAAATTGATTAATGATGTTGGTTTTTTTTGTCTTTTTTAATTATTTAAACATGTATAAAGTATATATCATTCTTATTTTTCAAAAACACGAAAATTGATGAATATAAAAATAGCAGAATCACGTTTTCGTAATCTAAAAATATGGTATATCAATCATCACAAAAATGTTTTAAATTTGAAAAAGCGTTGGTTTTTTATATTTCGAACAATATAATTGTAATATGTATGTATGTATGTAGTCTATAATTCAAACTCAAGGTATTTTTTTCCACAAACTAAGGGGTTTATTGGGAATTGGATTCTTATCAAATTGATTGATTTCTAAAATCAAAAAAAAATTTAAATTTATAGAGAGTTGTGTGTATTTTAAAAGTTTAGTTATAAGAATTTTAAGAATCGTTGAC